TGTTTCCATTGCTCAAAAGGTCGTCGTTGATGAAAGCGAAGCCGAGCTAAACGAATCCATGGCGTCCCAGAAAAGCCGTGTGGCTACAAACTATGTGGCAATGGAAAAGACTTGTCGAATTGAATTGATAAGAATCGATGACGAACAAGCAGTGTCACATAAAAAGGCGCTACAACTCAAACCAAATCAACAAACTGTTAGAAGTCATACTCCGTGGCTGCCATGGAATACCAAGGATGTAACCCAGGATCTGAAGGAAAAGAGAGCAACTAATAGCGACCAAACTTTAGTCAACACAATCGAAGAAAGTGATGCCACCACATCGTCATCGAAAAGTGACGAGGAACAAAATGGAAGAGTCGGAAAAGGCAATAGTACATTGATTGATCCTCAACGAATTGAGCAAGAATCAGATGCAAACAACGGTGACGCCGATGTCCATACAGCTAATAATGATGAATTGAAAAACTCTTCCACTCCAGAATATAATGAAGCATTTGCTCTGAACTATTCTTCTGAATCCGAACCAAATTTCACACAAACGGACGTTGAAAAGACGATGACTTGCGAAAACAATGAAAATGTAAGTTTTTTTTATGGTTTTTCAATAGCGGTTATTCTAACATTTTTATTTTTAAATTCACCCAGGCTGTATCAGAGCAAAACCAAGATGAAATCAAAACAAATGAAGTGCAGAGCAATCAAAGTGAATCACAGAACGTTGGTTCATCGTCGTTATTGTCTAAATTGAAGGTGGAGAATGAACTGTTGAGGAACGCTTTGCACAGTGCTAGCAAGCGGTTAGGTGATGAGATCGTTTCCGAAAGTGAATCGTCACTTGATGAAGAAGATGAGGTACATGTTAACCATGTGAACACGCGCCACTTCGAAATTGACGGCCTCTTTGCACCAAAGTACTATTTCATCACAAATGTAAGTTTATTCAAGTTTATATTATTTAAAAAAAGATCAGAAAATTTTTTTTTTCCTGTGAATCAAATTCGTATGCCGATTCATCTCTGAAAATTTATTGTATTGTTATTATTCGTTATTATTCATAAAATTTAATAAATAAAATTTGGCGAAATAATTTTTCCACAGGATAAAGGAGACAGATACTATTTGGATAACCAAGTGAAGATCAATTTGAGCGTAGTAAATATGTTGAAAAAAATGAATGTGACGTATCCAAAAACTTCAAGCGATTTTGACGGCGAGTTCGTCCGGCATTTGCTGACATCTATTTTCTCCAAGGACGAGCTGATTGAATGTTCAAACGCATCGTCTTTGAAAGGTCTCAATCGAACAAAGTTGAAACTGGCAAGAGGTGGAGAGAATTAATACATCATACCTTTTTATGGCCATAAAATTTATATTTTCCATTTTATAAAATAAAAAAATTAATGAATCTTTGATTCTATTTGCAGCTATCTACAGCCAACGGATTGAGAATGATAAAAAAAGATTCGATGCATTCCGAAATCATGCAATTCAAATTAAACTTGGCCGAACTGGACTGGATTTACAAGAATAATCTTGTGTATGCCTCGAACGAAATCTATATAAATAGCGATAAATAGAATTCTATAAATTAGTTTATTAGTTAATTAATAAACATTTCTTTCTATTTCTTTCTACTATGTATATCCATGTAAAGAATATATGATTTCAATAAAGCAAACAACACAAGTTGATTGACGTTGATTCATAGTTTGTTTTGATATTTGTATTTGTCGTTTGAATTTTAGTTTTATCATTTTTGCTCGCAGTAGCATTATCATAAATTTCAATATTTGTATATTTATGTGACATGTGAGAAAAGTGTTTTCATGGAAGAGCAATGAAAAAAAAATGTTCTGGTCTTTTGATTTCATTTTTAAATTAAACAGAACACTTAAAATTTTGAAGAGATACAATTTTTTTATTCAATACAAATAAAATCTCTTGGCAGTTATCAATTTTAATCTGATTGAACTCAAGTCAAAAATATTTTTTAAAAAAAGGGCAATTCACTTAAATAAGAATTTTAGTTCGTTTTTGCTCGCAGTAGCAACATCATAAATTTCAATATTTGTGTGTTTCACATATCACATTGTGAGAAAATTTGTTGTTAAAAAAGTAGTGTTCTGATCTTTTATTATTACATTTCATTTTTAAAGTAAACAAAACACACTCAGTGGTTCTGTAAAGATACAATTTTTCATTCGATACGACGAATAAAACCTCTTGGCAGTTATCAATTTAAATCTGATTGAACTCAAATCAAAAAGATGTTTAAAAAAAGGGAAATTTACTTGAATTATTTTTCAGGTAATTAAATATACTACAATTATTTTCAAAATTGACCGTTGTCAATTTAAAGCGTTGTACTTTTGTGAACACATATTAAGTGTTACTTTGAGGTAGTGAAATTAAGAGTTCATATGATATTATATATGCAACGGGGTCAGGAACTTGATGTCAAGATGCGGACTACATTTCTTTTGCATTTTCATTGACTTTATGGATATTTTGCATGTGGCGATCGAGGCTATATTTTCCAGACACGGTTTTACCACATATTTCGCACGATTTTTCCTTGCGCTGGCACTGGCGTTTTGGTATCTTCAGTAAATTCTTGAGACGTTCTTTTTGCTCTATTAAAGAGAAAATGAAAGAAATTATATTAGTAATACCAAACTTTTCCGTATTTTTGATCAAATGGTAAACATAGAACCTTTCAATTAAATGAAGGAAGAAGATAGACTTACGTTGTTTTGAGTTTTGCACAACTATCTTCTCGATCGTGAGATTTGCTTTGGATGGGTGCATCTTTTGTTGATGAACTATCACTGGATGTTCATCGGGCGCCATAAATTTGCATTCAGAGCACTTGTTTCGTTTAATGAATTTTTCATGAAAATCTCGGTTATGCTTCACCAAATTAGCATGCCTTTTGAAGGTCGAATGGCACAAAGTGCATTTATGCTAGAAAACAATATTTATTAATTAACAGTAAAATGTATATACGGGAAAAATTTAATTTAAATTGCAAACCTTATTATTTTCCGAATTTGATTTCTTTTTGTAACTTCTCTTCAGGGAGTTCGCCTCTTTTTCAGTCAGCAAGTAAGATTGTTTCTGTTGAAAATAATTTAAAATGGAATATTTAAAATTTAGACAGGAAATCGAATTTTAAAGGAACATATATTATATTTCATATCCCACATACAAGCAGTTTCTTTTCCCCTCTTTTCGGATTTAACTGACGACTTTTGTATTCCGTAAGCAGCTTTTGTAATTTTTCCTTCGTTGCATTTGTGCGTTGATAGAGCCAACAATCGGGTTTACACAACACCGCATTTGCAAAAATATCCAAAAACTTTGGAGAAGCTATGTTGGAAGCTTCACAAATGTTAAAGCCGGTGTTGTATCCAAAGTGGTAGGCTCTATACGACGTGATAATTATTTCACCGGGTCGTTGGTAACGTTTATAATATTTTATGCCATTCAATTTCAATACCCATGGTGGTATGACAAAACATTTATGCCTTAAGGCAGTAAGGCATAACCGGTAATGGAGATCACCTAAAAGGTCTTTGAAGACCTTCTCGAATTTTTCTGCCTCTTTTGGTGGCAAAATATACCACACTTTAGGTTCACCTTCCAGCAGAATGTTAATAGAAGCCAGATCATTGTCCTCTTTATGTGCACAGAACCAAGTATCATACATTCCAACTATAACATAGCTGGATTGGATACCAGGTATGCGATCAGAAATTGCATTCACATTCAATATCGAATGCTTTTCGGTGAAGGAATTGATATTCCATGGTTCGTTCGATTCAAATCTGTTTTCTCTCCACTCGGTAGCGTAGACTGGATCCACATCTATATCATGAAGCATGCAACATTTATTGATTAGCCTTATGTCGTAATCAAATGAAAAACCTTGCTAATGTCAGTTCAAAGATAGTTTTGCTAATTGGAACATTCCCTTACATTTCCTCATTTTTTTGTTTGTTTATGACAACTTTTTACCTGTTTTGGTGGTGGCTCTACGATGGAGTGAATTCCACATTGAATCGATTTCATCATTTCCGGGCTTATTCTTTGCAATCTTCCGATCGATATTTTTGAATGTGTCGAGTTTCATTGCTGGAAGTTTTTCAAATTCCATTTCGAATAGAGCTGGCTTATTATCGATTTTCTTTAGGCATTGCACGGTTTGCCTATCCACATTTGGTAATGTACAATTCCCCTTCAAAGGCTTAAATTTCACTGCATCTGGTGGAATGATCTGAGAGTTTCAAGTAAAATAGTATTCCAATAAATTTTCCCAGGGTATGTATTTAATACCTTCACAGATCCGATGGCATTCAACTCGTCGCTTTCTAGGATATTTTGTATAAATTCTGCAACATCTTTTATTTCTGTCGGTTTCAATACGTTGGGTTCCATCTAATCAGGGAAGTCGACAAAAGTCGAGAAAAGTAAGAAAAAACTAGATAACAAATGGTGTTGCACTGCGAGCACAAGACGAACTCTTTGCCAAATTGAAAAACGTCTTGACTATTTTCAGATTAGAAAGAAATTTAGCGATTCTATATATCACATATGATCAGCCAAATCCAGGAAAATTGAAAAAAAATAATTGAAAACCTTTTGATATACCTGGACAAAAAGATGCCTGAATCTTTTTCTCGATGCTAAATACTGTGTTACCAAGGGAAGTCAAATCAGTCGAGAGAAGAAAAAAAAACTAGAAACATTGATAAAATGAATTGTTTTTTCAACTTGTTATTAATAAAATCATTCAAACAGATGATTTTTTCTGTTGAATAATAATAATTAAACTTACATTTAACACAATCACTACAGATCACTTCACACACAATTCTTTTTGTGTTTACTAAAGAAATGTCAACTCATATGTTGCGGAGATCGCCACTCTCAGTTCGTGGCAGCACCGCTGCATTTGTCACTTGACATGTAATGTGTCGTCTTCTTGGGTAAATTCTCTTTTACGAGGAAGTGAATCACTTCGTCTCGAAGTTT